GGCCCCATCAGGCATAACTTTCCCATCAGAGGAAGCTTTTATATACAGTTCCCATATTCTTTATTTTTTTAACATCACATGAAGACATCAAAACCAACAATGCGTCAGTTCATCTCTGTGTTTTCCGACTTCTCTACCCTGTTTATGGCACTCAGCCCTAAGTCCATTCAAATTGACGAAAGACTTAAACTCTTAGAAACGGGTTGCAAATATGTCGTTGAATTGTGTTTAGCAAAAGTCAAGTCATTCCCTAAAACATCTTGAGTCTAAAATCCTTAAATCTTACCGAAACAGAAGTACATTTATTGGGGACTATTTTCACAGGAATGCACATTCAATTTTGATCAAACTGAAGAAACACGTCATCCAGAGCTATTGTGGGGCTCACTGGGTTTTAATATTGTATTGGCTTGAATATAAGACAGACCACCATTTTTCCAACAGCTGTTTGTGGAAAAATGTTTTGATGCAGCTGTTAGCATTTTTCAGACTGACTGTCATGATGAGGAGCTCAAACATTCAGTGACAGCGGTAACTCTGATCAACAGATGTTTTTTTTTTTTTTCCCAAAAAAAAAGGACCCAAGCTCAGGGATTCATTTCAAAATACATAACTTGCGTCATTACAAACTCTTGTATGTTAAACTGGACTTCTTAACACTTTTAAGACCAACTCTAACATATATATTTAATATATTTGAACATATTTGAACCTGGTGCATATCCAGTGTTCCCCACAGGATGTTGTGAGACTATTGTGGGTGGACGTGGGACCATCTCGGGTTCTCCCCCAGAAGAAAATTTTGTACATTTTAAATCTAAATGCATCAATCTGACGCTCTTTGTGGTGTAGCTGTTTTGCAGTGCATCCATGGTGTCAAAGCAGGAAAAATAATCCATTGTTTTGTCATGGTGTACGGTGTAACGGTTTTTCTAAACCACACAACAGTTGCATTGCGGACCATTTTCAACAGCGCCACCCATGGAGGGCTTACCAAACCCCAACAATAATTTCCTGTATTCATATCGTGAATACATGCTGTGCAGTTTGAAAAGCTTGCTATGTCCAGCAGTATTCATTATTCAAAGACATATTCAGTGATAACTGCAAGTGACACGGCCTCTACAGGCTTTCCAAATGTTATCGGACTGTATTGATCAAGTTCTTACAGTGAAACCATTCCGTGGGGGTCCTATGACGTAAGCAATAGTTTAACTGGAACATGCATGCAGCTCGCTGTCATGAGCACTCAGTCATTTTAACATGTTTAGGCCTGCCCAAAAAATGACTACACAATAAAGCACTCTTTAGTTTAGTCTTTTCACATGTTTTCAGCAATAATATGTATCTATTACATGTATAATATGTTTAGAAACAAGTCTCAAATTTGACTTTACCTGCACTTATTATCTGATCAACTCGCTGTGTAACGGGAAGACAGACAGTTTAGATGCGTTTTTTGGTATTCAGTACTTCTGAAATACACTCTTCAGGTTCATTTTTGTACGAATAAAAGCTGATCAGTTGCTCAGCGTGAAATCTCCACCAGCTTTAATTAATAACTCCTTGATCCTCCTTTGTCCCAGAATTAAACTTTCCATCCTGATTGGCTGTCTTTCTTTAGCGCTCCCTAACGAAGCCTAGTCACCACGGCGGTTGCTGATGAGGACCGTGTCGCACCTGTCGCACTCGTTAATGATAATTGCATCTCCTTCTCCGTTCCCCTCTTTTAAATACGCCACTGAGGCTTTCTGTCCTCCATGATTCTAATTTCATTTCATCCTTCTCATAGCTATTTAAGAAGACTTTTGAGACCGCCATTTCTCTCTGCGATGTCCCTTCACCCCGTCACTACCGCTGCTTTGCCACTCTCTTTCCACTATCCAAATGGGATGCCAGCCCTCATGCATTTTTAACAAGAGCAGAGGGATCTGCTTGTCAGAAGTCCTAGTTCTGTGTGTGTGTGTGTGTGTGTGTGTGTATACTGCATTTTCGTGTGCATCAGTGCATGTGAGTGCTGCTCATACTTGTTTGTAAAGGCGAAAGTGATGAAAAGGGCCAAAGAGCGAGATCGACTCAGCTGAATGGGCTACTTTCGATTCACTCAAAGTTCTCTTTGAATGGTAATGTTATCGTGTAGCTCACTGTATGAGTGTGAGCTTGTGTAAATGTGGAATAGGCCACACATGACATTCACACCACATCTTTTATGTCAGATCAACCTGGCCTCTCATCAGTGTCTTCACACAAAAAAGTATATACTTATTGTGCGTCCTTTTTTTTAAGGTCATCTCGCCTTGTGTCATCCTCTCCTGTATTGTCATGCAGCAAATTGCTGTATGCTGGAAAAGGAGAGAAGAGGATTGAGCCTTTTTAGTGAAGAGAACCTTTCCCGACTTAAAACAGACCCGCAGATTTCCAAAAATAATCGATGCCTTTATTCTGCTTTTAGTGTCATCTTCACCCACAAAAGCTCGCGGGAGACGAGGTGTTTCTCAAGATTTCTACAGCTGAATGTGGAGAGTTTGAAGCTGATCCAGCAGCCTCCGGAAAGAGCAGACAGGTACCATTTGGCCAGGAGGGCTGCAGTTGCCATAACAAAAAAAAGCGTTCGGGCAGACTATGGAGAAGAACTTTGGGTTGGCCTCAAGGAAGTTCTGGCAAACTGTTTGACGACTCAGAAAGGGAAAGCGTGGCTTGGCTCGGTTTGGGTTCTGCAGGGGAGGAGAACTGCTGACCTAGACTGAGGATAGGAAGCGCTTTGAGGAACTCCTGAACCTGATCAACATGTCCTTTGTTGAGGAGGCAGAGTTTGAAGACTCGGGGGACGACCCATCCATATCGCTGGCAGAGGTTCCTGACGTAGTCAAAAATCTCCTCAGCGGCAACCAGGAGTGGATGAGATTCACTGTGATATTCTGAAGGCTCTTGACATTGTCCGGCTTTCTTGGCTGAAACACCTTTTCAGTGTCGCTTGGAGACTGGGGACAGTGCCTTTGGAGTGGTAGACCGGGGTGGTGGTTTCAATTTTTAAAAGGGAACTGGAGGGTGTGCTCCAATTATCAGAGTATCACACTGCTCAGCCTCCCTGGGAAAGTTTATTCTAAGGTGCTGGAAAGGAGGCTCTGACTGGTCGTATCTCCTGTTGTTTGGGCCATGTGGCTAGGCATCACTCATATACCTTTTTGATCATGGTTGGGCGACATGCTGTAAAACCTAATTTGTTGAGGCTTTTATTCTTCACGAATGGACACATCTTGAGTGCTCTTTCAAATAAGTAAAATGTACTTAAAAATAAACTGAATGCTCGGTTTATAAATCTGGGCACGTTTTGCGATCCATGTTGAATATTTCATCTCTGTTATATGACCCCCTGCCCACAGATGCGACTCCCTGGGGGGGGCTGTATAAAAACAGCTTGAGTAAACCTTGACCTGTGCATTTTAAATTGTGTTCTGTTATGAGCATGAAAATGAACAGTGTTTCTGTTAAACATCTACCAAGTATCTAATAGTGGAGGGTAAACTAAAGGAGTGAACTTGTTGCTGCTGTAAAAGCTGGTTACCTTAAATACTCTGCATTTGTCATTGATACTTTAACATGTTAGGACAAAGGCATGTAACTAGGTGGAGTAGCTCAAACAACCCAAAGTGCAGATTCACATCTGTACTATGGTGCACAAAAACCTGTTTTAACTTTAAGTGTGTCACTCTGCTACAGTGGCAGAAAACTTCACAGAGCAACTCTAAACAAGGACGGGAAAATCACTTTTACCTTTAGTGAGGTGTGGTTGACCCCGTTTCTCAGTATGGACTCTTCTTTTAAAGAGGTGGTTGGTTTATGCAATAATAAATAATAAATAATGACATTGTGATAATGGGCAGAGAATAAACTGTAATTAGTCTCTATGCAGGCATGGTGTAATTATATCTACCATGTATGCAAGGAACATCTAATTAAAATGTAAGCCATAGGCATTTCAAATGTAAAGTCATTTAAGTTCCTAATCTATTTGCTATTAATGGGGGAAAATGGCTCCGCTTTGTGCAGGTCTATTTAAGTAGTGCTGTTGGTTGGCATGAGAAAACCCTTTCATTTATCCAGTTGGATCCAGGATCTTGTCTTAACTGTAATGGGAATTATTTTCTGGTAGTTCTGCAATTCTAAACATTTTGGCAATAGGAGCAACTGTTTGTATTGGGAAGCTGTAAGAATACAGCTGCAGGGTCCTGAGGCTGCTAGGTTGAAATGTAATCAAACCAAGTTATTGGTTGTGAGTTATGCATATGGGAAAAGTTGTAAAGCCTTTTGTGGCTGCAGAGGAAGCTGTGCCAAAATCTGAAATTTACAAGACCGCCGACTCTGCTGTCTGAGGTAGTTTCATTGAGTTATCTAAACCCCAGGTTTTGATGAATCTGGAATTTAAAAAAAAAAAAAAAAAAAAGTAATCTGTATGCCCTTTGTCAGGACAGCTGAAGTAAGGGGTTTGGAGCTCCACACACGCCGGTAGAGGGACGCTAGCCACACAGAGCTGCATACTGCTTAGTGACAGCGTACACACCTGACCCATCTGGAAGACAAATTTTAAGTCTGCTCAAGTGTTTCTAAATGCCATGCTAAAAGTAGTTCATGTCCCTGTTGAGTCAAGTGCATTGTCTAAATATTCATTAGGCTGACAAGTACCAGTAGAAATACTCCACTAAAGGACATTTCCTGCATTGACAATGCTTCCATGAGGTTATTAGTTTGAGTTGTTGCTGACCCTTAAGGTGACACCATGTTTAACTACTCCAGAGTAATATTTCTGCAGGGCTTTTTAGATAGATAGATAGATCTCTCTCTCTCTCTCTCTCAACAGGTCTACCTCACTAGCCAGCTTTAAAACCCAAATCTAATACTCCTTACAACCCTTGCAGCTTGTCAATTTACATATTGGTGTTTGACAACTTCCTGTGTCTAAATGCATGTCTGTAGAAGTTGGACAAGTATTTAACAGACAATTTAAGAAAAACAGCTTTATTAAATTAAAAATTTTCCATTTAAAAATTACACTTCCTTCAAATTAGGGCAGGATTTACTTTGCTTGGATCCTTGTGCTCCTGTGGAGAGGTAAAGACATTAAACATTTTTAATAAAGTGACACCATAGCTCGGTAATAGAGGTTTTAAATGATAAAAAGTCCTCACTTTCTCTTCAACACACTGGCAAGTTTGTCAAAACTAGGAACTTTGATGTAGCGAGTAGAGGGATGGTCAGCATGCATGCGCGAGACAGCTGGACTAGCAGGTGTGGTTTGAAGCGCTGCAGTGGGCTCGATGGTGAGACTCTGCATATCTACAGCACAGAAAGATGAGAAATGAGCCAAATCCAAAATGAGTGATAACTGTCATTTCCCGAAAAGTGAACAAACTACTGTACCCGATACGGGCCGTGCAGTGTGGATGATGCTGCCGATACCAGCTGTGTCAGCCTCAAACCGAAACGTTGTGAAGAGGCGATGCAGACTAGCCAGAGGATATGTGCACTGTACCATCACCCTGTAAGGAAAAAACAAATACCCCTTTTCTTGTGCTGTACAGCATTTCTTTACAATTTAACACTGTATTGCGACACATACCTCTCAACAGCGTCAGAGTGTACCCGACTGCTCCCGCTATAGAAAATCTCATTTTGATAGGTCACATTTCCCATGCTGAGCTAAAAAGACAGACGACAAAAGATGCAAATAGAGACACATCATGACATTTAGATTTGTCATCCGTTTGGTCCAATAGCAACGTTAGTTTTAAATCTGTAGCAGCAGTACCTCGATGGTGGTTCCACAGGTGTTGATTGGAAAAGAGAACAGAGCCCTGGTGCCGTCGTTCTCTCTGGCGCCACAGAATTTGTCGACCAGGTTGAATCTTGCAGGAAGTCCTCTGCTTGGGATGGCCAGAGACATGTCGGCCACCACAGTCAACCTCCCTAGAGTCGAACACACTAGAGAAAGGTGTTCGAGATTTTTATCAGCTATACAGAGACCCCCACCTGCTCTCAAAGTAAGTAACAGGATGTCCTTACAAATGAGTTCATTAGTAGAGAACGGACAACTCTTGATGGTTGAGCTTTCGACCTCTGATGTCTGATGATCCCGCATGAGGATCTTGAAGGTGCCATAGAAGCCCTTCAAACTAATGCTCTATTTATAAAAAAAAAATAAATAAAAAAAATACATGCTTAGTCATTCATCGCCATGTTCAAGTCAACTAAAGGACACAAGAAGATGCATTTAATGAGTCTGAACTCACGTTGTACTTGTAGCCGTGAGAGAAGAGTGGCACCATTAGCCACAGACTCTGGCTATTGTTGCTCATGATGTAGCCGTGTTTGGCCGCCAGCTCTGGTGTGAGCAGGTCTGAGCCGATACTGATCTCCCAGAGGGAGTCATACGGCCGGTGGTCCCGACTGAAGCTGATGCCAGACTTGGAACAGACGGCATCAAAGGCTGGAGGAGCTGTCAAACACAAAACAATGATTACTTTTCTTCATTCACAAGTAGGATTGGCAAAGTCTAAAAATAAAGGTTAGAGACTTACAGGCATCAATGAATGCCATGACTGATGTCACATGGTAAAAAGGCTTGTTTTCAGGCAGGATTGTCAGTGTGTAGTTGATGTTCAGCTCATAGTGAAGAACTGCATCGTCAGAGAACTAGGAGGAAAAAAAATTAAGCGATGTCTTGCGCTCACATGACAGTTGCAAGACTTTAAAGTCACTCTTCTGTCAAAAGAACCTTTACCTGCAGCAGGACAACAGGGTCATCAAAAGGCACCTTTAGAACGTAACCAAGAGTGTTGTTGGGGTGAACAACTTTAGTGATATTGTGGCTTCTCGTGTTCATAAAGTGAACTGTAAATTCGTCTCCATTCAAATAAACAGCAACCAACTCCATGTCTTCGGGGACGTCTCCGAGGTAGACCGTGAATGAGAGTTCGTCAGCAACCGTTTGGTTTTCAGTGAAAATGGGGTGTGGCAGCAGAGGAGTGGACAGAGTCCTTTGGAATCGTACTCTGGTTTCTACCCGATCCTCGGCCGCCAGGATTTGCTCCAAGTAGAGATGAAACACATAAATCTCAAAGAGATCACCAAGCACGAAGCTCTGTAACAGACACAGGGAGAATACTTGGAGACCAGGTAAAACATGCCCAAAAATTCTGATGCTTATAGTTTCAACTTAGATTGTTAGAGTTTAATGTTCTGTATTATGTCCACTATGACAACATCTACTCCTAAGTGTCTTCTGACCTTCCTGTATCCTCCTTCAGCAGTTAAGGGGACGCTTATCTGGACTGTGGCGTTAATGTTCCCCACAACAAAGTGTCTGTCCTCTGCAACTGGCTGCGCCACAAGTTCACCATTGAGACCAATGTTGAGTTGTGTTCCGTGAAGACTCCGGTACGGCACTTCAGGAGTTCGCCACACCATGTAGCCGCTGTCATCATAAGATCCTTCATCTGTGGACGTTACACTTTTATTATAGCTTTGCGCATCCATTAAGGGGAGAATAAGCCACAGCAGAAAATATTCTAATACTGACACATGGAGCAAGCAGTCACCAGGTCGACCATGAGGACAACCCAGCTTTGTCTGGAGAACAGAGTTGCATGGACCTCCTCTACTGGAACGCCATTCACCTGGGAGGGGGAAAAGAGAGAGAAACAGAGAAACAGACATTAAAAACCTGCTTGAACTCAACTTCACAAGACAGATTCATGCATCAGTGGTTTACCTCAGTGCTGAATGCTTCAGGTTGCCCGTACGGAGTACGAAACACCAGCCTGCCATCGGTCAAGCCAAACGCGTAGCCCTTCTTGCGAGCATCAGAGAGGGCCATGGGGGGCAACTGCTCCTCATTTCTCTGAAACGTCACCTGCCAGTCTGAGGTGGTGGAGCTATGTGCCTGGGAAGGGATTTAAAGTCTTAAAAACAAACAAGGTGACACTTCACAGAATGAGACATTTAGTCGGCTTTTTAAACACACAGGTTTAAGAGCACTCCAGTCATCCTTTACTGTCCGAGCGGGACAGGCGACTTCACTCCTCACAGACACCTGGGAAGAAGTCATAATTAGTAAACATCTGAAACTATTAAATGAGGAAAAAAGAAAAGAGTAAACCAGTTTACCTCCATGTAGTTTTCCTCACAGGTAATTTCTCTGGGAGACCAGGGGAGAGAGGGAGAACAGGTCTTGTTCAGGGCATAGCTGTCCTCCCGTCCTTCATGCGTCACAGTCAAGTTGAAGTTAAACAAGAAGACCTCATCATCCTGAAAGAGCAGAGTGGAAAACACCTCGTCTGTACAGTAATAGTTAAAAAAAAAAAAAAAAAAAAAAAAAAAAAAAAAAAAAAAACTGTTTCATGTGCAAGTTGTACGCACATTGTTGTCAGTGTGACAGCTGAAGTAAGAGGCTCGGAGCTCCACGTGACCCAGTAGAGGGAGAAGTCTGACGCTGTAGCCACACTGAGCTGCATACCACCTAGTGATGGCGTACACACCCGTCCGATCTGGAAGACAAATATTACATGAGTAAGGCAGCTTAATGTGTCCAAAGCTGTTCTTATTGAAGTATAGGAAAGATGGATTTCTAACTAGAGACTATAACTGATTTCATAGATGCATGTGGAGTATTGCATGTGGAGTATTGCATGTGGATGCAACTCCTAAAATGCTTAATTCCCTCACAGCACATGTTATCCCATTTCAGACAGTGATGGCCCAGCATGATGAAGCTGTGCAGCACTTACCAACGGCCTCAAAGAGAGGTTCGTCCCCAGTGAAGGAGAGATCAACAGCTATCATGAAGTAACGATCACGACACTCCATATGAAGAGCTCCTGTGTGCACAAACAAAGTGACAGTCAAAATATAGAGGTTCCATTAGTTATTGTGGCTCAAGGAGCCAAATATTTCAGTTACCTTTGGGGATGCCAGAACATTTTGCAGTGGACCACACAGACAGGAGTAAGGAAACACTGCAAGACAAAAGCACGCGTCTCCTGCATGCACAAATAAAGCAAAATAATAGACTGTAGGTTGACACAAAAAAATACTTACCCAAGGCAGAACCCAAAATCCATCGCAATGGATGTGTTGGCAGAGTTTAAAGCTAGCGGCTAGAAAACTACACCTGCCTGCCAACCAACATGTGCTAAGGTGAACCACTTGCTTTGTGTATATTCTGGCCGGGGTGGTACTATGTGTGCGCTGTCTGCTGCAACAGCTTTTATAAGTGTCTTCACCCATTAAGGCTGAAAGGCAAATCCAACCTCAGCACCTGCAACTGATTGAAAGTGAGCTTGATTCCTAACGACATACACATGTGGCTGTAAAGACTGAAGGCCTCTGATTGGTTGGTGAATAAACCGACTCGTAAAAACTGGTGCAGGAGAAAGCAGCCGCTTGATGCCAGTTTGGCCAGAATATACACCGAGCAAGTGGTTCACTAAAGCTTGTGTTGGTCTTTTTCAGGTCTTCTCATTTAACTTCAACCTTATTGCAACACATGAAGGAAAGGACAGCAATGCTCTGAACAAGACATGTTGTCCCTCTCTCCCCTGGTCTCCCAGAGAAATTACCTTTGAGGAAAACTACATGGAGGTAAGCTGGTTTACTTTTTTTTCTTCCTCTTTACATTTATTTTCATTTCACTTCTGGAATAGTTTCAGATGTTTACTTATGATTTATTCATAGGTGTCTGTGAGTGATGTGGCCTGTCACACTGGGACTAAAAAGGATGACTGGGATGCAGTTGTCCAAACGGTATGTTTGGCATCGCCTTCTGGGAAATATTTGTCACCTGTGACTGCAATACTATGACGAGGTGAGGTGACTCATTGGACTTCTTGTGTCCTTCAGTTGAGTTGAACATGGAGATGAATGACTAGGCTGCATGTGTTTTATAGGGCGTTACTTTGAAGGGCTTCTATGACACATTCGAGATCCTCATGCGGGATCATGAGACATCAGAGGTCCAGAGCTCAACTATGAAGTGGAGTGCTAGAACCAAACTGGTCGACAAATACTGTGAACCCAGACAGATGAACAGGGCTCTGTTCTCTCATCCACTCGACAGCTGTGGATCCACCGTGAAGCTACTGCTGCTCTCTAATGTGACTGCAAATGTATCCATCTTGTCTTGCAGGGTCACAATACTGTGTACATAACCTCTGGTTGGACTGTTTCTCCTCTTTTCAGTGTTTAGGTTTGAGTTTGACACAGATGGTGTTGGCAGTGTTGTGCATTCTGCAAACTCCACTGAAGGAACGGGATTCCCCCGTTGACCTGAATGAACCACAACCTCAATATATACGTGCCGACAATGTTTGTTTGTTCTCTAGGTGTACAGTCTCCCACCCTAGAGTCCACTACCAGACGCATCAGAAGACCTGCATGGTCTGGTGGGTTCATTGGTGCACGTCCATCAGATCAAAGCCATTTATCGTCGTAGAAGATTCATTAGGGTCGCAGAAAACAATCAGACTGTGTATCTGTAATTAACAGTACTCTCTGATTGCCTCCACACCATTAAATACCACACTAATATCTGGCCCTTGTAACCCCATTATGCACTGCTTAATTAAAAATGCAAATGAAGCTCTTTATAATTACACATTAACCGACATGGAACTGGACAAAGCATTGTGTGTGTGCACGCATGGTTATGCGCGTGGGTGTGCATGTGGGCTGTGTTATGGGAAGGTGAGTAATCAGGTATTGGTTTGAGTGGTGAGTAGTGAGGTTTTATGAAAATCTAATTGCGGTGGACAATTCATGGAATTTGTTGTCAGTCAAAGTTTAAAAGGAGAAATGAATCCTTCTGCTGAGTCTGTCAGTAGCTGGCGTTGACATATCAAGTGCCGACGATTCTGTGAAAGCGGTTCATCCGCTGTAGTATGTCTTGGGGGAAATTGCCCTAAATTAATCGAATAAGTCAGTCAAAATGCCCTGAAGTGCACCCTTCAGCAGAAAGATACATATTCAAGGTGGTTCTTACAATGCCATAATGCTTGTATGCTGATTGTTTTTTGAATATCTACGTTGCTAGAAGCGTCAGTGTTATGCAGCAACCCATTACTGAGACTACATCTACAATGCAGCGTATTTTATAACGCTGTTTTTGTGGGTGGTACTCGTCTACACTAGGTTTCCGCATTGTTTTAGAAGCCCTCTGCCCATAGTGAAGCAAATAAACATAAAAACGACTACATCTAGCCCGCTTTTTAGTTGGCAAACAAGAAAAAACTGAGCATCACGACCAACACAATCAGCCTGCCTGATAAAATCATTATGTAATGGTTGCAACGTCGTCTGACAAAATCAGCATAAATCCAGGTCAAAGACAGCATATATGTGCTGTGCTATGTATTCAGCTATATTGACATTTTTAAATGAGTAATCCCGTAGGTTCAGATGGTTTGAGGCGACAGAAAATCCTTGTTAACTTAACGGCCAGAGTAGAATGATGAAAGATAGTCGTTGGATTTGAAATGGCATATGACAAAATAGAAAGAAATACACATATCTACAGATCACTGGAGTTTATATCATGCAATCTCTCCACAACTTATAGTATATATTATAATTCAAGAGGAAGTCAAGGATTTTGGATGCTTATCAATGTAATGAGAGCATTGTGAAAACCAGCGAGGGGCACAAGTTAATGCCTTTTTTTTGTTTTTGCTTCAAGATCACTAAAAACAAAGGAGGAACGAATAGGAGGGAAGCGTTCCCTTTGCTCCATGGGTAGTCGTATGTGTGCTGATCATTCAGCAGATCTCTCATTGTCAGAACTCGTCTCGGTTGAACGACCTCCAGCTCACGGGGCCCGTGGGCTGCAGCGCTCCGCTGTATCTGCGTAGGCCCGGTTTCCTCTTTCTCATGGAAACAATGGGGCTCTAGTCTACCATGGGAATTTCCTTGGACTGCAAACGTCTCCTATTTAACCTACGCTCGGAGCGAGATGGATTTTGTCTTCTGAGAAAATCAAACCCTTTTATAGGTATTCATGGGATTGCATTCTCTCTGCTGTGCCCGCTTAGCCTCTCCGTCTTGTTATTGTTCAGGAGCTTCTGCATCACACACAGTATTATCATTGCCGTCTCCTTTGTCATTTTATTACAGGCCTTCAGATCCACTCTGTCACTCTGTCAAATGTGTTTGCCTGATTTTTCACTTTTCATTCCGCTGAGATCTAAAAAGCCAAGTGGGAGAAAATGTTCATCTTCAAATATTCATTTGTTAAACCCTGATTTGTCTCTCATCTTAAAATGGAAATTATCCACAAATGTTGACGCAGGAAAGGGGTCCTGTCACCTCAGCATGCATCATACCATGCCATAATGAAACCGAATCCTTTGATGTGCTGTGTAAGAGGCAAGAGACAAAAAAAGACTCACTTTTAGGGACTTTAACTAACTCGGAAAATGTGACTCAACACTCTTCTGACGTGAAAAATAATTGACAAAATTGCGACAAAGAACAAAAAGCGGCAGATTTGCCCGAGGCACAGCTTTTAGGAATAGCGTTACGTATTGAAAAAAACTACCGTGTATCCCCCTGCTGATATCAAAACGTGGGAGTGTTCTCAGTCTGTTGAACTAGTGCACACTGAGTGGACTTTTAAACTACAACACACTGTGTTGCTATGACACTATAATAATAATAACTTTATTTATATAGCACCTTAAAAAACAGAGTTTACAAAGTGCTTTGACAGACAAAGTAGCAAAAGCAAGGCAACACAAACAACAGAAAGCTCAACAGTGAGGCCCAACACAGCACGACCATTAAGGTAAGAGTTAAACCCGGATAAAACAGTACAATTTATGAAACAGAAAATAGAAATCAACAAATAAAAATGAAGCGGTAAAGCGACGACATCACATAAAAGCCAGTCTGTAAAAATGTGTTTTAAGAAGTGATTTAAAAAGAGATTACTGAATCTGCGAGCCTCATCTCATCTCTACAGTCACCTTTAGTTTTCAGCCTCGACTTTGGGACAGACAGAAGGGCCCCACCTGATAATCTAAGGCTGCGAGCTGGCTCATAAGGGGGTCAACATTTCCTCTATATACTGTATGTTGGGACCAGACCCATACGTGCTTTAAAAGTGATCAGTAAAATCTTCAAATCAATTCTAAAATGAACAGGGAGCCAGTGGAGAGAAGCCAGGATTGGGGGTGAGAAGCCTCCTCTACGTACTGCACAGAATTATCTGTAAGGTAAAATAAGTGTGTTAAAACAGCCTCTGTGTATTCTGCTCGTCTCGGTATTCATCCGCAATGTTCAGTGTATAACGGGAAAAAGACGTAATCACTCTAGGATGTAAATTAGCGCCACAGTTTTTTGTAAAAGGAGGCTAAACTATTCCTTATTTACCTTGAGGTAACCCACCTTCTCTGCCACCCACCAAACCTACCAACCAGACCACTTTGATCTCTGCCAGTCAACAACTCGGTACGGCAGAAGTCCCGATCCAGTGTCTGTCCGTCTCGCGGTCCTCTCTCATGTGGCCGTCTGCCCCTCGGCCAAGTCTGTCTTGTTTTTGAAAAAACCCACTAAAAGCACAAGATGGAGCGAGGCACAAGAGGCGCTCAGTGCCGCCCGCCCGAAAGCCCGCGCTCGGCGCAGGCATCCCATCAAAGCTGTGGGAGCGCTGCGCTCCGAGCTAAGTCAACTTGGCCTTGTCTGAGCTCAAATATTTGAGCAGCGCTCGGCGGCCCGGGTGCCACTGGCAGAGCATCACAGGATTCCACGTCCAAAACAAAAATCTGGGGGGTGGAGAAGTGGGTGTAGTGGGCGTCTGAATGTTGGGAATGTGCACAACGTATGTTTATGCAAGTCTCTGCAGTGTCTCCCTCCTCCCTGTTCCAAAGTTATCAGGCAGACCCGATTAAGTTTAAAGTCTGTGTATACTTAAACTTCTCTCTCTCTGCTGAAGTTACAGCATAGTTTTGATTGACGGGTCAATGCGGATAATCTGTGAAAAACACTTTTGAATTTTGGAGTAGACCTAAATATAAAAAGAGCTAAACGCCAGCTCTATAGAGGAACAGCCTAGACAGCTAGAGCGAAAGGTTCAAGCTAGCAGGTGGTGATAGCCGCAGCTAGCCTGAGCTAAACTGTTCAACACAAAAGATACATTTGCTTTTATCTGTAATAGAAAATAAAAAAAAAAAAGATTCTTTTTTTTGCCAAATTACTTGTGAAAGTGGCACGTCATTCATACACCATGTGGAGAGACCAGGTTACAACTATTCCACACAAGTAAAGGAGGAAATATCTTAAAACATGTAGAAACCAGCTAAACTCAAAAGCTAACTAACTTAGCGGAGTAGCAGT